ACTTTCGCGCTTGCTACCACCTCACACTCACACAACTATCAATCACCTCTCATGGCTCACCCTTTTGGTCAACAATCAGAGACTGGGCAGCATAGGAGCACCAGGATTCATGACAAAGGGGCTCGTCAAGCCCCTAAACCCACCCCAGCCTCAGGCAGCCAGAAGAAGGCCCAGGATTCAACCTTGGCTGGTGGCTCTAAGCGACAAAACACTAAGAAGACCTCTGCAGCTGCTAAGACTGGGACTGGGACTGTGGCTGAAGGTGATAATGATAATGACCTGGCACCGGGCCCCTCCATTGCCCCTCCAGGTCGAACTCGCAAACGGGCTGCAAGCCCAGAACCAAAAGTCCCAGTCCAGGCAGCTAAAGCAGGAAGAAAGAGGGCAAAACAAGATGTGAGCCAATTTTTCTTTGCAAAAATAACGTTAAAAAATCAACTCCCAACCCTTTCAGATAGGATTCCAAAGGGAAGGGTGCTACTCAGCAAACACACTTTGCTGAGGGAGTCACTGCAATTTGTGACTCCATGTCTGAATCAGCAAAGTCCAAATCAACTCTTCAACCTTCGGTAAGTTTTAACTTACTTAATACATACCTGAGAGTAAACCCTTATTATTACAGGATACTGCTCCAAGTGCAGTGGACACTGAAAGCAGAGATGATGCAACTGGTGACTTTGAAGAGTTCAATATCCCCAGCAGTGATGAGGATGTTGATGAAGACAGAAACAAACAGGATGAAGATAACAAAGAACAAGATACTATTCAGCTTTTGAGTGGTATGTTAAATGTTAATAAATGCTCCCATTATCCAGGAATTAACTCTCCCATTATTAGGATTGAAAGTTACAATCCAATTCATTGGTCCTGGGTCATCTCCATGGAACAATGTAATTTCCCCCTATAGCCATGCCGCTTGGCCATCCACTCAGGTTGAAGTGGATGGATGGAGTGTCTTGATGCAGGATATTCTTTCCACTTCCCAGGAGTATCTAGGTACTGATTGGATTACAAGTGAGTTTCTATCTCTAGCTGTCATAAACCCAAAGTTTCATTTTTTTCCCAATGATTTACTCAGATGAATCTCGTATCTCATGCCTGGATGGCGAAGACACTATTCAACTTGGAAAAGTTGAGAGTGACTCTTGCAGGACATATCGTATCCATATTCTTTGTGAACATCGAAGGATTATTTATGTTTATAACCCAACACCCACTCTTACCCAAACTACTCAGCTTGGCCCCTCTATTCCTCACCCCAATCCAATGAATCCCACTATCCCATATACACCACCTACTGAACCAGCCCCTTCTGCCACAATTGGAAAGGCTTCCCTTGGGGAACTCAGTAACCTCTGGAAGGTGCAGCAAACCACGGAGAAGCAGGCCCAATTCAATGCTTTGAAGGACTCTCACCGTACAACAGCTCGCAGCATTGATGAGACGCTAGCAATTGTGAAGGAGTTCACTCAATCTGTTCCAATTATCCCTGCTTCCTTTCCTGGACATGGAAAGGCTGTCCCCCTCTGAGAGCTCTATATTGCTGTGACTTCCTGTAGTGACAGTACTGTTGCTCACCATCTTATCATCTACAGTACCTACATGGAGTTCCAGAACAACCCTCAGGCACGTTGTAGGTGGGATAATCGCCCACACACAGCACTGGCTCAGATACCCGTTTCCATGATTAGAAAACCCCTTTTATTCATGCGATGACTCGGTACAAATTTGGTATCTAAAAATAGTCCTAATTCGTACGATTCTGAAGATACCAAGAACGTCCCAATCGGTGGAGAATTGACAGAGTTCTATGTTGGGCAACTTAGTCACAGGCATGTGCGGGCATGGGAATCTCAAGTGGCAACCCAGAATTCCAGCCTCACTCGTTCCCATGGCATCTGATAAATTGGTAAAAATGCTTATCGGCTGCGTGAGAGTTATCTCCGGCTGCATTTCCAATTTTGGCCCTTAATTCCGTAAATCTGTTGAGAAATCGCATATTTTTTTATATTTTCATATTTCACCATCATTTCAGTTATTGATTGATATTCTTTTATTGTTACTATTACCCTTTTTTATTATTTCGCCTAATAAGGTACCCAGGTGCCATATGGCACCAATATTTGCCATCTATTCTTTCTAAAAATAATTATTAGATATAATCCTGTACATATTGGATTTTGAAAAGAAGTTCTCCCCTCCCCCAAATTCTCTAAGGTGCTAGGACACGCTAGAGTTGGAGTGAGTGTGTGGAATCCAACAGTAGGAATAAGGGCAACTGTCTAGCCCACAACGAGTGGGTAGTAGATTAGTTGAGCCTGGACCTTGTGGAATCCTGGAGAACCCACATGGAGTTTAAGGATTGAGAGCGTAGCGAAGTCTAGTCAAGAAGTAGGAGTTTTGGAGAGTTTGTCCCCCACAAGCTGTGTCGGCATAGAGAGCTGCGAGCCCTCTTTCAACGTCGTCTTGAATCAGTATGGGACAATGAACCAGTCAAGGACTTCAAGTATGCATATGATGATCCAAACTCTGAGACAAAGGTTCATAGCCTCCAAGAAATCATCACATATCTCAAGTATCTCAAGGCAAATGGGGTGGAGCCAAACCAGAATAAGTAATTCTCAGTTTGTCATTTCTCAATCAAATTTTTGAGCAGAATGATTGTAACATTAGGAAATCCAATGTGTACCTACCTTTCAAATTGAGGAATGTTTTCAATGTCTTTGTACTCCTGTGTTTCCTGCCTATGGTGTATGCTTCAACTGCAATGGGCTTTGCAGAGACATTCACCTCAGCAACTCCAAGGATCACAGGCTATGCTATGGCTGTTATTCTTATTTTCATCCTGCACAGTGGGGAATATCTCTGTCACCATTATCTCCAATCCCAAGCAACCCTTAATCCCAACTTTCCATCTTCATGGATACGTTGTCTCAGTGCCCACCTATTCTCCCAGGACTCACTTGCCCTTCCTCAACAGACCCAGAACTATCTTATCCTTGAAGCTGCAAATGGACTTGGGCTTTCACATGAATTCCTTTCAGACCCACACCTCATTCATCCACAACCAACCCTGTTAGGACCCAGTTATTTTGACTGCCAAGTGTGTGGTGGATGGTTGAAGCAAACTAGACAATGTGTGGATATGTCAGAGACCAGATTCGAGACGAAGGAATGTCTCCGTAGCGGAGGGCTTCGGCCTCAGCGACTTCTGCCAAGAGCGCTGTGCCTAGTGACACGTCCGTGCCCTAACTTACTGACTGGCAATTAGAACCTAGGGGGGTAACTCTAGTTGATTTTACTACTGGGGTGTAACCTATGTACAAGTGGGATATATGGTTACAGCGGAGACGGGTCCGCAATTGGCAGAGCCGAACGGAGCGGAGCTAACGGGGTTTAGACATTAGCCGACTGAATATTACCGACGAGTCGGTTTGCGGGGTTGACGGAAAGGCAGGCAATAACCCAGAAACGGAAAGGAGGGATAAGCCCAAAGGTGGGCTCTGCAGGGCAGGCGAGTGTATTGCCCAGCGGAGGCGGGGGTGCGCTAGCGGACGTCGGAGCTGTCCAGAAGTCTTCGGGGCTCCGTACTTAGGGAGGCGTAGGTAATAAATTGAAATGAGGGGGTGGTGACCATCGAGGGGTACCGAGAGGATTGCGGAATAACGGGGGCTCCGAGGTTAGTGAGGGAGGAGCGGAGTTGGAACGGAGGGATCGGAGGGACCGGAAGTCGATGGCCAGGGATGGATATGACAGGATATATGGATTTTGGAGGATAATGGTGTCTACATTGGCCAGCTTGCACAGGGAAACTGCCAGTCCTGCAATACATCTCACTTTCCAGATCGCTATTGCACTTCTATCAATGGGAAACTTACCAATATCTTTAATCCTGATGCAGCTTATCTCTGCATTGGAGGTAATATCTGGATTAATCGGCAAGTTGCTCAAACCCAGTCCAATCTACGTTATACTGCACATATGTCATCTGAGGGCTTTGCATCATTCTATTCACAGTGATATGGGAAGGATAAGATTTCCCTCCTTCCAAAGCATGCATGGAAGTTATTTGTCTTACATGAGTCCCTCAAGTTGTGCAAAGCTACCAATCATGAGCTTGTTCTTCCATCACACACAAGCATCACAGCTTTGGCTTCAAAGATGCAAGAAAAAATTTTCCCTGGAGCTGTCAAGACAATCCAAGGTGCACTTGCTCATCAGTGTGCTCAGTGCTTCCACCCATACTGATCCCTGCAAGAGGGAACTGCAGTATGTGATCTACTTACTATTTTTACTTTCCCTTGCTAACTCCTTCCTACCAGCAAGTGACAATTAATGATGATCAGGAGGTTGATATGATTGTGGTGGATGGCATTTGCATGGGACATCGCCTTTGTGCAATGCCTAAATGCCCTAACCTTCCACTTAATTTTCACTCAAAGAAACTCTGTGCAGAACATGAAAGGAGTAGGGGCCATTTATGTGGCAGAGTCTCTTGTCAGAATTCACGTGTAACAGCCCCCTTGAACTCTGGTGCTTGTAATCTCCCTGACCATCAACAACGCTGGGAGGCATTCTCTAGAACACATGATAAGGAGTCATATGGAGCATATCGCTGGGTCATACGGAACCAACAAGGACAAGGCCTTCTTGGAGTTTCATCCCCAACAGAGGAATGGGTTATGAATGCTCATCGCATTGCTCAGCAAGCCCTACCTGCTCCAGAGGATCCTGAGCAAGTCATTCCACATCATCATCATGATGGTGAGGCACCATCTCCAAGTGCATCATCCCGATTCACTCCACATGGGCAGCACACATGGCAATATAGACATGCCTTGAAACTCTCACCCATCCATGTGGTTGTATTGTGGCTTGGACTAAATATATGGTGTCTGAAAGCCCAACCAATGTTCTTCATACACTTGAAGAAGTCTTTCCAGACCAGACTCCTGGCCATCATACATTGTGATTGATAAGGCATGTAGCCAGCTACACTGATGAGCCAAGGACAGCATCACAGATGGTTTCAAACATCCCGTTTTCTGGTTGATGCTTTCCATTCCAGGAACCACCACAATGACCCTACATGCCAGAAATATTGCAATCCAACCCCTCAAGTCAAAGATGACCCAAATTTGGTTCTTCCTATTCAAGATGGAAATAGTCAACAAGCTCGGTTTCAGCATGCTTTCAATACAGAGGCTGCAGAGCAGTTGAATGCTTGGTTTGGAGGCTATGCTTCACAGCTAAGTCATATGCATCCAGCCAATCATGATTTTCTTGTGCATGTGATGCTTTCATATCACTTTGAAGTTAAGGGTAACATGTAATTACACCATTATGCCCACACCTGTCATTGCTGTACCTACCAAGAATCCAAATTTATGATCAATCATAATGATTCATGGGAAGACTTGTAGTCATTCATGAAGGTCCATGAAGGTCCATGAGGCTCCATGATCCTTTATGAAGCCCCATGAAGGCTCATGACACTTCATGACACTTCATATACAGGCATGTAACCACTCAAAGCCTGCTTCATAATCACTCATATAGAGGCTCATGGTGGTTCATGAAGGACATGATATCCCATGAAGGCTCATGAAGGCTCATGACACTTCATGAGGTTGCATGTAACTACTCAAAACCTGCCTGGAAGAACCACTTAAGTCATGGGCAATCATGACCCCCCATGCAGGTTCATGACATCTCATGAAATTCCATGACAGTTTGTCATGAACCAGCATGACTGTGTATGACACTTCATGCTGCTTCATGAAGTTTGGTGACCATTCATGAAATGTCATGACTTCCATGATGGTTCATGAACCACCATTACACTTTTTGCAAGTTACTGTGCTTTTAACATCTCCTTGTTTGAGGAGAAGTCTGCTCTGATTCTATCATGAGCAATCATTTCCCTCTTCCATTCAAGGGGAATGTAGTTTAGGAACCTGGCATTGAAGGACGCCTGGTCTGGTGGCGTCACCATCTGGGACGCTGCTTTGGACAGTTCTAGGTAGAACTGTTTTAGGCCTTTTTCTGCTTCGTATTTGACGTTGCAGTACTTCTTTGTCGCATTCAACGCAGCAGAGGCTTTAATGAAAGTTCTCATCAATATGTTGAGAACTTCAAGGAACATGCCCTCATCTCCTCTGAGGAGAGTTTCGTCTCATGTCATGACCAACAAATCCCGGGGCTCCGTCAGCGGCGAACCAATGCCGATAGGCGAATCCGCCGACCCGAAACCCATCCTAACCAGCCCCCAACCCCATGTCTGGCCCCCTGCCTTACTGCATGAGACTTGGCCAAGAATCAGAACCTAGACCCTGCCGGTATTCCGACCTTACCTCCAGTTCCTGAGCCCTTGGCACTCCCAGCATTCAGTCACGCCTGCCTTGTCTCCATCTGAACCACACTCATCGCTTCCCGCTATGTGGTCACAGCCATGCCCCGCTTCCGTCCACTCCGCACCCTCTGCCCACTTCGCACCCTCTGCCCATCTCTGCACCTTCTGGCCACTTCTGGTTGCCCTTGACACCTCTGGTCAGGTCAACACTCCCACTCCCCTCTGTACCTCTGTTGGCCTTCATGCTGTCCTTGTGTGACAGTGCTGGCAGATCAACTTCTGTTCGCGGACTTGTGTCGGCACCGCACCGACCCCGCTTATTTGCGGACTTGTATCGGCGCCGCGCGCTGACCTCCGCTTTTCCTCTGGCCATTTGTCACTTGGCAGCTTATCATTCATTCCTTGCCGAGTGCCATTTATTGTTTGCTTCCCTGCCAATAATCGGCATTTGATCCCCTCTTTATTGGCACTAGGTTATTGATCTCATTCAGTTATTCATCAATAACCCTTGCCACTTATTGTTTAGTGATCTGTTCCTCCTTTCCAGTTCCCGGGCTCTTGTCCTTATTTAGTTTGACAATCCCCGCTTATCTCCGTGCCGGACCACGCCGGACTGACCGGCCTTTCTATATTCCCTCTTGCCTATTTATATACCTTGTAAATACTTTTGGGGACCTCAGTCTGAAATCAACTAGAGTACCCCCCCTGTCTGGTCTGAGTCTCTCCTTCTGCAAAGGGGGCTTCCCCCCTCTGAGTCTGTGCTCGCGGAGTCCGCGCTCCTCCTACAGGTCCGCTCTGCCCACAAGTCTGGTTTGAAGTCCGCTGTAAGTGTCAGTTTGTAAATACGGGATCTCCCCCAAACGTCAAGCTCAGGGCACAGTGCTCCACCTGAGTCGCTGAGGCCGCGATCCCACTCTGCTAACCTTGAACAGCGCTTCCGGACGCGCCGCATATTTCCGCCCGCATATCCGCGCGTGCGCGCTCCAACAGACCTCTGCCACAATCTCCGACACCGACAATATCCCAGCCTCTGACAAAATCCAGTCTCTGACATCTCAGAGTCTTATTCCGAGGTCAAACGTGGGTCCCCCTAATCCCTGAATCAAGCAGTCCAGATGGACTTCATCGAATTGGGGACCTTTGCATCCTTGCGAAGCGAGGAATCCCAGTAGTTCAGTGAACCACTGCCAGAACAATTCCATGTCGTTCTCCCCTGACCATTTCTTGTCAGGGAATGCTGGCCCATTTTTTAGGGCTTCAGGCTTCACTCCTTCTGGGTAGGGAGTGAGTATTCTCACTTCAGCCATTCTTATGGCTTTTTCGTACCATTTCTCCAGGTACTCCTCTTGCTCCCCTGCCTTTGCAGGGTCGCTATCCAATGGAGATATCTCCTTTGGGGGGTTTTCGCTGGGAGAAATCTTCCTTGCAGCGTTTCTTTGGTTTCAGGTGAATTCGCCTGAAGTTGTATTTGGATTCTCTCATTGTTTTGAGAGAGTGTGGTTGAGTTACCTCTCTGTTCGAGAGGTCTGTCATAAGTGGACGTTTGGCCAAACCTTTGGTATGTGCCAATTCTCCTCCTAATTTCTGAACGATGCCTTCTTTCAGCATTGTCTTCTCCTATCCTTGGGAGAAGGATCTCCTTAGTGTCTCTGTCAAGTCGCTGATGATACTCCAGTGTGCTTTCACTGGTGGTTCTTTTCGTGAATTTTTCACGAGTCCTATTTATGTCCTGGACCATGGTCCAGGGGTGTTTATTTGTTTCCTCACTTTTTTGTGAGAAGTTTATTTCCTTCAGCAAGTCCGTCTGTTCGCTGATTTTTTCAGTCAACGCATTGATTGTGTTGGCCATTCTTTCTAGAGTTATCTCTAGACGAGCCATACTATTGTGGTTTGTTTCCTTGATCTTTTTTTGGATCGAGTTTATCGTGTTTATTATGCACGATTCCTGGTTTTCCAGGAGGAAGTTTGGTTGGGCGAGCAGTGACTCTCCCCAGTTGACATTGCCGCTTCTGGGGGTTCCAGAAGGGGTTCTTGGAGTGAACACTCCACGCTCGCTTTGTTTAGGTGAGGCCGTTGCAGAGGGTGCTCTTTCATAGAGGGGTCTGTTCGCTGGTTTTTCCTTACTTTTCCGTAAGGCTTCCTCAGCGAACTCCCTCATTTCAGTTTGCCTCCTCTTCATTATCTTGGAGACCTCCTCTGAGGTAGGTGACCTTGCCTTGTCTGGCATGGCGTGGGGGAGTGGAAACAGCAGAAGTTCTTTTGGAGCTTCTGCACTCTGGGAGATCCTGCTCTCAGGGCGTATCTTTGCGCCTTCTCAGGCTTTCAGCCTGAGAAGAAGTTGGTCTTCACTTTCCATCCTCCATTCAGACGGAACCTGGAACAAGTCCAGTAGTTTTTCGGATAGCCGACGCTGGGGCTCTTCCCTTTGTTTCCCTTTGTCTGCCTTTGGGGCTTGACTTGGGGACATGAGGGAGGACTCCAGGGGATAGTTGGGCCCTGGAGTTTCCTGCAACTCTATCTGATCAGCTTTTTGGGCTGATCGTTCAGCGCTTATGCATTTATCGTGCAAGTCAATCACCTCGTGAGGAGGTGAAGGATCTTCCCCAGCTTGGGTTAGATCGGTATGTTGTGGAGTTCTAGAGGTATTAGGCCCCGCACTTACTCCACATAAGTTTCTAAAACCTTCAGGAGCCAGCCCTGAGGTGGTTGCTAATGCTGGATCAGTTGATCCTCATCGTTGTCTGACGATGGCTGTTGGTTTGAATCTCCCATGATGGGAGATTGTGGTTTCTTAATAAACCGCTTGTTTCTTTTTAGCATCGCTGCAGATGCAACCTTGCCCTTGTGGGCGTGTTTAGGTGCCATAGGCACTACCAAGTCAGATGTTAAGATTGGATAGTTTCTGTGGGTTGTGTTGTAAAACACACCTCATACACTTAAAAAAGTGTGAGGTCTCAGGGTAGCTCAGCACACAGAGCCGTAAGTGATACAGGTGTGTGTATTTTACAGTAGTGTGTAAGCAGTTACCCAGAGGTTCCCACTTACCCACGTGACTATATGTATCTAATTACATGTGGCTCAGGGTTCGGGGCTATTGCCCTGACATCCATTCCCATAACAGGTACAATCAGTGTCCGAGTTTGGGGTGTGGGATGGGAACAGGAGGTTGTACCTTCACAGAGATAAGTCAGGAGAGGGTGGAAGGTGGGGTCAATCTGAAGGTGGTGATCAGAGCAGACAGGAATAGGGTAGGACTCCAGAGGTGGTGGAAAGGGGGTCCAGGAGTAGAATTGGGATCAGGTAAGTCCAGATATGACAATCTCCAGAGATACTAGAGCCATGACCATTAGCACCATAAGGAACTAATTTGAGTGTGTTGGACTTATGGAAGATGTTGAACCTATGGTATGGCTGTCAAGATGATTGATGTTGAATCCTCTCCAGACTTGATAATATTTCCCCAATTGTGTCATTTCCATCATTCCCTGAGTTGTCCAATGGTCTCATACCACTGTCTTGACTTTGGGGACAATCTTGGCAACATTCATCAGTTCCCCCAATTTTGGGTAGAGATCAGTTCTTCCAGTGGGTAGGGTTGCAAAGCACCACAGTTGATCCAGCCTTCATGCATTTCCAATCCCAAAAGCTGTTGGTATGTGGGAGTGAGTCAATCCTCCTCAGTTGCTGTGACCAGTATCCCTATTTGTGACAATAAATAAATGAGGAGATTACCCACCTCCCCTTCCCCCTCAATGATATCTGTTCAACACACAATGATTATTATTATTATGAATATGCCATGGCAATACCTGGTTCACTCACCCAAGTCCCAGATGTTGCAGGGCCATGTTTTCATGGCTGCCATTCAGTGCTCTTCTGCTTGATGGCCTCCTCTGCCTCACTGTGTGAGTTGATGATTTGACAAAGACAGTCCATGGCTTTCATCCCCATATCGCATGCATATTGCAAGGCCCAAATTCT